GCCCTGAGTATGGAGGCGTCCTTTCACCATCATAGCCAATTGGTATTGAGGGACCTGTTCCCCATGAATCCATCTACGCCTGCCATGAGATTAGAGGCCAGCACTACCTCCTGGAACAGCGAGGTCCATTAGTTAATTACTGTGTAGATGAAGAAACAATCCGTTCAGAAAGGGTTAGTGTGGGAGCTGCGGAGGGAGTGCCAAAACCTTCATATCAACATGTTGTGTTATTAGGCTATCGTAATTTCTTTAGTTTCTCTGTAAACAGACACCTGGAATAGGGCTGCCAGCCCACAGGTGGGAGCAAGGGATCCCCCTGATTTTGCAGACTCCAGCCCGCCAGTGGCCAGCTGGCCAGTGAGGGGAAGCCCCGCCCCCAACAGCCAAGACCCAGTGCGACATCCCCAACATGACGATGTCACATGGTAACTACAGAGTCTTACCCAAAATACCAGAGCGTCACTACATGACATCCCCGGCCTGATGACATCACTTCCGCATGAAGCAATCATGTCAGGGACGCCACGTGCAGTGATGTCACCCTGCCCCCCAATCCTGGAAAGCTCTCGCCCACCTCCATTGGCGGAAAGTAAGCACCTGGCAACCCTGCGGTGGAAAGTTTTACTTCCTCGAACCCTTTCTTGAACAAGTGCATTCTGGCTTTTGAATAAACAGGAAATGACCTCACATCCAGACACAAACATCCCAGGGATTCTTCCCAGTATCCAAAAGTTTGAACGTCACTCACTAGTTCCCGCATTGTTCACCAGGCAGTCCAGGCATCCGTAACGTTGTATAGTTACCGAAATCAGCCTCTGCAGGAACAAAGAGGAAGACGCATCAAAGGCAGGGAAAGGGTAGCAAGAGAATCGAGAATAATGCCATTCCAGAGCTGCAAGCGACAATCACCTACTCGGGGCTGCACCTGTTCCAGGTGTTGGGAGCAAGACAGAGAAGGGTGGGCAGCAAAGGAGCCTGGGGGGGAGGAGAGGGGCAACCAGAGCAGAAGGCTCCTGTGTGGGTTGGGGGACGAGGCCTGATCCAGACTGGGGAGGGGGTCGCTCAGGCATGTGGTGGTTGAGGGTCTTTGAACCCTGAGCTGCCTCCTGTCGGAATACACCAGTGCCTTGTGTACAAGGAAGAGGAGGAAAGAAGGTCCTGCAGGGAGCAGCAAGTTCTAGCTCAAGAGGACTGTAGGGGGAAAGTACTTTCTTTCTAGAGGGGCTTCTCTTTGTCTTCAGAATGATCTTCTTTGGCTTTCCTTCTGAAAGAGTCTAGAAATCTCTGTCTCTCACTTATCATGATAGCTAGGTTTACATCTTCTGTTTCCTGTCCACTTTTTTAGTTCCACAAATAAAGCTTTCTTTACTCTTAATCAGCTCTGTGCCCTGACTGCTGCATAACCATTCAGCTATAACACCTCCAGCCTGACTGGGCCCAGAGTCAAGGAGGCAATGTTTGTGCTCAGCTGCTGAGCCTTGCCCATTTTCAGACTCCAGAGCATGCTCTGACAGTGAGGACGACCTGATGCTTAAAGCTGATGGACAAATTCAGTGGAACCCCGGGGCAAGGACTTAAGTGGAGGAGAGACATATGACACCATAGGTGATAAGGATAGTCTGAATTTATGAAAGAGGAGCATAAATCAAGGGGAGAGGCCTAGAAGAACAGTGCTATGGCCATTTAGACACCTGAGAATTAGAATATAGAGAACGGTTTTAGTGATGGGCTCAGAGATGAAAGGACATTTCTTGGAAGTGCTGAATAAGAACCCCCAAAGAAGCACCACTCTTCTTCACCCAGTTTTCACCTACCTTAATGTCTGACTCATTCTTTACATCACAGACCTGGTAGAAAACATCCCCTGGGCACCCTGAAGCCTGCAGGTCCCTCTGCATTGCCTGTCCCTCTTCCGCTGCAAGGGGGGAGAACAGAAAAATTGTCCGCAGGACAAAACTTCTAACCCTGCCTTTTTTGTGTGCAGCCTTTGTTTTATCCTTCTATTTCCCTTTCCAGTGTGCTGAAACTCCAGGTACACACAAGCATTTTTAATAAGTGTGTCTTGGTTGTCTTTTTTCCATTTGGAGAAAGGTGGGCAAAAAGGCCTGCAATTTGTAAGTTATACAAATGCATTCTGTTTTAAATGGGGAAACGGACTCATTGGGCAGGCGGGTCCCGTTCACTGTTACCTGCAGGAACAGGGGAAGACAAAGCTCTTGATGACTAGGATTTTTCCAAGGGATACCATAAAAGGGGGAGTACCTTACATTTCCATACATACCAGTTGCTTGTGGGCCGGGTAAGAGTCCTGGACGGGCCTGTTCCGGCCCCCGGGCCTTATGTTTGACACCCCTGTTCTAGGGTAATGACTGTGTTATGAAAATCGCTCCAGGTTTACAGAATCTTTTATGTTACTTAATGCACCGGCTGGGCTTTTAATCTTTTTAATGAATTAACTGCTTTTAAGAGTTGATTAAGTTTTACTTTGTAAGCTGCCTCAAGAAGGATCTCTGTTGAGGAGGGAAATGCCTTTTTGAAACAAACAAGGGGACTCTGTCATGGGAGGAGGGGGGGGGAAGTAGAAAAGGTGCTCCAAACTCACCTCCGGAGGCTCGTGAACAGAAGACCACATTGGCTCCTTGGTGAACTGGAGGGCAAAGAGAGGAAGGAACACAAGACAAAACTCAGACAGGCTTGGCTCACTCACAGATGCGCAGCACGGGATTTATTTATTTGTTTAAAAGACTCGATTCCTGCCTCCCCCAGCCCTCCATTTAGGTCCTCAAACAACCTCAGAGCACTTTGGGGGCGGGGGAGTTGTTTTCCGTCTCAGGAGGGGCAGCCTTCTGCGGGCAGATCTTCCTGACCAGAACAAACTCTCTCTGATGATGGGAGCAGAAGCCCCCTCCATGCCAAGCCCTCCATGAAGACCCTTTCAGGTGGGCAGGCATGGTGGTCTGCAGTAGAAGAGCCAGATTAGAGTCCAGGAGCACCTGAAAGGCCAACAAGGTCTCCAGGGGAGAAGCTTTCGACAGTCAAAACTCCCTGAATCATCAAATAAAGTCAGAGGTATCCTGGAAATCTCGTTACTCTTTGAGGTGCTTCTGGGCTCAAATCTTGCTGTACCTGAGCCCGGAGGCCCAGTTCTACTTTGGAAATATGGGACACCGAATGCCCCCATCCACAGGCTCACCATCTTCGTATCAGTCAGAATGGCCACCTTGTATTCTGGTAGCCCGCTTCAAGAGCTTTACAACAGGTTGAAGTTCAGCTGGTGCAGCTTCACCTGCTTTGAAAACAGTAACTGCCCACCACTTACCAGAATATGAACCACAGGTAATAGGGATAGTTCTTGTATCACACATACAGAAACACACACATAAGTTATGATTTCATATTACTTTTGATAACAAAAGAAAGCGTCTTGTGGAACGTCAAAGGCAAGCGAAAAGCCTCTAGTCCACAAGACCTTAGGCCAGAAGGTACTACTACATGAGTCCTTTTTGTGTTTACAGGACAGACAAAAATGCCTCTGAGGACAGAAAGAGGACATTTCCCTCCCTCCCAGTTTCTCTCCATCCCAGATTAGAGATGTAGGGAGCAAGGCTTCCTGAGTATTCCTGGCAGGCTCGACCCCAGCCCCTGTTGGCAGAACATGCCCACTCCTCCATGCCCACTTCTCTCCTTTCTCACCAAATTCTCTCACGATGGCCGAACCAATGCCTGAGGTGCCACCAGTCACAATCACCACCTTGCCCGGGTAGCGCAGACAAGTTGCCATGCCAGCAGTTTGCCTCCGTTTCTCTGAATGACTAAATTCCACTTAGAGTTTTGCCTATATAGGCTCTTGGGTGGAGCAGTGCCGCTACTTAATTGGTTGGCAGGAGTATCCATGGCTAGTTTGCTCACTGTGAGTTGTGGAGCACAAGGGTTGGTCCTTTCTTAACTGCGAGAAGAATAATGGGTGGAGGAGCATTTAAGAAGCTCCTGTGTTTGATGCAAGGGATGTCTTCATTGCCAAAAGGCCTAAACGGAAGAAGCAGTACAGGATCTATGAAGGAAGCAAGTCTCCTTGGATTCCCATTCATGGCCTTGCTGCTGAGGATATATCTTATAATATGGGATGGGCCCCCCTCCCACCCATTCCCTCTTCACTAAAACCACTTCCTCGAGAAAATGTGTGCCCCCATTCCCCATCTCTTTAAACTGAGCCTCATTTCTTCTCACCTGGGCTCTTCATCCAAACCTCGGGATTAGGGTTGTCAGGTCCTTGCTGGCAACCAGCGGGGAAGGGGGGGAGAGATTTAACAGAAGAGGGGAAAAGGCCCAGAGGCTAATCTCACTTCCAGTGACATTCTGGTATTTGGTCAAAAACTCTATGGTAAATGGCTTTTACTGTAGAATTTCTACCCAAATACCAGAGCATCTCCCGGATGTTCGCAACCTGATGATATCACACATGACTGACACACTGGTATTAACATTGACAGATTGCCAGAGATGCAGTCTGGGTCTTCCTCTTACTCCTGGTAAGTCCCCCAGCCAGCCAGCTGTTTGTCTGTGTTTTTTCTTAATTTGTTTATATGTATGATTTGAATTGGAGGCTGCGGTGGCTCAGTGGTTAAGACGCTGAACTGCAGACCGGAAGGTTGGTAGTTCAGCAGTTCGAGACTCGAGTGCCGCATGACAGAGTGAGCTCCCATCTCTGGCCCCGGCTCCTGCCAAGCTAGCAGTTCAAAAGCAAGAAATTGCAAGTAGATAAATAGGTAGCACTTCGGTGGGAAGGGAACAGAGTTCCGTGCGCCTCAGTGTCTAGTCATGCCGGCCACATGACCACGGAAATGTCTTCGGACAGCGCTGGCTCTTCGGCTTGGAAACAGAGATGAGCTCCACGCCCTAGAGTCAAATTCAACTGGCTTTTGAGCAAGGGAAACCTTTATTTATTTATTTATTTATTTATTTATTGCATTTTTTACCCCGCCCTCCCTGCGAAGGGGCGAAGGGCGGCTTACACAGGGCTTTACCTTTATGTTTTGAATTAGTTACCAATTTTTTCATGATGTCTTACTCCCAGCTCTTCATGGGGTGCTGCTGATACCAGCATCATCTGGGGAGAGTCTGGGGTGTGCTTCTGGATGCCTCCTTCTCTATGGAGGCCCAGATTGTGAATGATGCCAAGCTGGCATTTTCCTAACTATGCCAAATGAGGCCACTGGCCCCCCACCTCTCTTGCCCAGACCTGGCCATAATGATCCATGCAACACTCACCTCCAGGCTACTGTAGCACTGTAGTACTGTAATTCACCCTAATCTGCTTGCAGGGCAAGTGTTATAGAAGTACAAGAGATAAATAAAATAAATAAATAAACTCACTCTTCGTGGGGCTACCCTTGAGGCTGATCCAGAAATTATAGCTGATCCAGAATGCAGAAGCACAGGTACTCACAGGCAGTGTTCCCTCTAAGCTGAGTTAGTGTGAGCTAGGTCACAGTTTTTTGGCCTACAGCTCACACATTTTTGTCCGAGCTCAGGAAGGATGGCTCCAGAGCAAACCAATTTATGTAGGAGCCAAATGGCTCACTCACAAATTTAATGTCAGTAGCTCACAAAGTGGAAGTTTTGCTCACAAGACTCCACAGCTTAGAGGGAACATTGCTCACAGGTACCCAAACAAGAGCACACATCCAAGTAGTGCTTCACCAGCTGCACTGGCTCCCAGTTGAGTACCAGTTCCACTTCACGTTTTTTGGTCTTAACCTTTAAGGCCTTATATGGTCTGGGACCACCTCTCCCTGTATGTCCCCCCTGGAGAGCCTTACGCTCATAAGATCAGAACTTGCTGGTAATTCCCGGCCCCAAAGATGTCCAGCTTTCTCAACTGGATCCAGGGCCTTTTCAGCCCTAGCTCCTGCCTGGTGGAATTCTTTGCCTGCAGATATCTGTGCGTAGGGTTGCCAAGTACCTACCTAAGAACCGGCGGGGGACACATGCTTCCCCGACAGAAGATTCTTGCTTGTAACACAGGCGCTGCACTATTCCATCACCCAACGTGATGTAGGCACGTAGCTGGGCGACACTCTGGTAATGGAGCTGGAAACTCGATGGTACTTGGTTACCAGGTCTTTTAGGGCTGAAGTTTCTTCCCCTTTCTGTTTTGGTCTCTGGGGTACTCTGTTCTTCTACAGACCAACACAGCTGTTGGAAACTACCTGCAAGGAAGCGCTTCCAGGACGTTGGCCAGAGGGCCACAAGAGCTGCCTGCCGCCAAGCCAGATGTTGCCCAAGGGCAGGACTGTCAGAACCCAGGACACGAACAGTAAGACCCTGACCTGTGTGAGGCCATCACTCACCTTCAGGCTCTGGATAAGGTGGCCATTTAAATGTCCGGTATTTTTTTCCAGTGTTTTTCTAAACAGTCAGTGAAAACACTGGACTCTCTGGGTGAACTGACCACCCAAGCCCAAACAGCACAAAGCATGGTGTTTGCACTTGGAGGGGGCAGTGCCAGGGCAGGCCAAGCACAAAGCACCCACTTCCTCTGCTGCTTTGCATTGAGGCTGTGTGCTCCTCCGAGGGTGAACAGCAGGGGTCATTTCCTGCAGGAGCGCACAGGAGCTGAGCTCCAGCAGTAAAGAGCCCAGGGGGCAGGCACATGCAACAAGCCCCACCCCCTGCTCCCAGCAGCCCTCAGTCAGAACAAGAAGCAGCCAGGTAAGTTGCAGAGCTCCCCCTGGCCCCCCGGTCCAAAACAGTCCAGTGGCACCTTTTATTCAGGTACAAGCCCTCCCTCCTCTGCGAGGACAAATCTGCACGCCCCCCCCCCCAATAGCTAGCAATCCAAAACAGTCCAGTGGAGCCTGAACGGTGGGTGTTGCCTTCTGACACACTTCCGGTGATGCCAGGGGGTGTGGCATATGCAAATAAGTTCTGCTAATGCTTATGCTAATGAGCTCCTGCACCTCTTTTTCTACAAAATGACCCCTGGAACAGCATGCTTTGCACGGTCTGCACTGTTTGCCCTGGGAGGAGGGGAGGCGGTGCTGAGCCCAGGTGCAAAACAGCAGCTGCTATTGCTTCTTCACACTGCATCTAGGTACTCCTCCCAGCGCAAGCAGCATGCTTCATTGATTCAAAGTCACTCTTCCAAGAAAAGGAGCTCCACAAAGGTGTTGTATTATGATGTTGTAGCAAAAGAAAGCAAAGCAAGAGACAACACTGGTTTCTTTAGTATCAGTTTCTTTAGTATCAGTTTCTTTAGTATCGGCTTAGTGTTGGACTAAGGCACTTAGCAATGAAACTCACTGGAGGCCCTTGAGCCAGTCATGGATACACAGCCTGAGCTGCCACTCAGGACGCTGTGAGCAGGAAGAGGAGAGCCGTGTGCGTCACCTTCAGGTTTTGTTTTGAGAAAAGGCCGAACCTCAAATGTCCCGTTAAGACACTCCAGTTCAGATATGCCACACTGATAAAGGAAACTTGTGTCCTTTATTCTTGCAGGTAGAATTGCTACTCTTCAAACTGACCTCTCACTGGTTGCTTCAGTATTGATTTGATCTGCATCAAATTTATTTTTATTTTATTTTATGTCTTCGATTTATATCCCACCCTCTACGCAAGCGGGCTGAGGGGGGTATATCAGGGGGTGTCATTCACTTCCATGCTATGGAAAGCTTCAACTGCCCATTTCCGCACATGAAGCCCCCATTAAGGAACAGGACACTCTTCCCCAGGTCTGTTGGCCACCCTGCTTCCTGGGTTTCCCATCCTGTAATGTCTGAGGGGCAAGTAGAAATTCAACATGTCTCCCTGTCCCAGAATGAAAGATGGTAAGCAGCCTCATCTTGGATTCAGCTTCACCCGGCCCAGACTCTGATAGTGTAAGCGAGAGCTAAGCCCTGGAATGTCTCTTCTCTATTCAGACTTTAATTGATCATATGAATGTACCTCAGGACAGCGAGACCATGGAATGGTCAAACTTCATTAAACCTTTCCTGTTTATGTTTTCTGTTTACTTCCTCCTGACTAGCAACTGTGCCTTTTCTTATCTCAAGTTAATCATCCAATAAAGAAATGTGTGAAAGAAAAGAGATGTCATAATTGCGTTGTTGCTGTTTGGCTTTAATTCAGGAAAATGAGTTTGCATCCAGGAGCCACCCTTCCTAGCTGAGCTGGGTTTGATGAATATGACTTGTTTGCCTTCTCCCTCTCAAAGGTCTTGAGCAGAAGATGGGAAATGCCACTTTGACCACAGTCTTCTCATTCCCATTTACTTTCATCTCCAACTCTGCTGTCCATGGGGTTTTCTTGGCAAACATAATGGAGTGGGTTGCCATTTCCTTCTCCAGGGGATCACACTTGGTCTGAGTTCTCTGCTGTGGCCTGTCCGTCTTGGGTGGCCCTCCACGGCATAGCCCACAGCTTCATCGAACCACGCAAGCCCCCTCGCCATGACAAGGCAGTGATCCATGAGGGGAACATCTTTGGCCACCAAATGAGAAGGGAGCACTCACTGGAGAAGACCCTGATCCTGGGAAAGATTGAAGGTCAAAGAAGACGGGGACGGCAAAGGATGAGATGGTTAGACAGTGCCATAGATGCAACGAACATGAAACTGAGCAAACTTCAGAGGATGGCGGAAGACAGGAGGGCCTGGCGTGATCTGGTCCATGGGGTCGCGAAGAGTCGGACTCGACTGTGTGACTGAACAACAACAAACCAACTCTGCTACCTGAAACACTTGTGGGGAGGGTGGGGTATAAATATAAAAATATAAAAATAAAAATCTTTTCTTTATCTT